TATCCCTCCAACCAAGTTGCGAAAACGAGGCTAAGCAAACACTACAGACAGATGAGACAGACTTATGGGAGGCAAAGCTAACTGAAATTCAATGGTATCTTAGGGCTCTATCATCTCCTAGTGAAAAAAATCCAACTATCACTCCTTAAATAAACTTAAGCGACCTAGGATGACAACATTTTTATCATTCAGAGCATGCTTCTTCAGAAGAAGCTTCTAACATAGCGAAGACTAATCCTCATGCTTATATGGAATTCAAATATCAGGAAGGCCTCATTTGATTCATCAACAATAAGAAAACAAAAATGTGTTTCTAAAATAATTAGTCTTACCAAAGTGTAACCACCTCATTTGAATAAGTCTTTATCGGAATAGACTTGGCACGTGCAAGACCAAAGTCGGCCAGTTTAAGGTCGCCACGTTCGTTGATGAGTAGGTTTTGCGGCTTCAGATCGCGGTGAAGGATACGACGCTTATGACAAAAGGAAAGTCCACGAAGCAGCTGATATAGAAAGAGCTGCACATTGTCTGGATGCATCATACCGAAGCAGTCGTGAAGGTACTGTTTTAAGTCACGCTCCTGTTAAAAGCATAAGGGAAAATAAAAGATAGCTGCAAACCATAGTAAAGGCAAAATTAGCAAAAAAAATGGCAGGCTTTAGTTTATAGCATCTGTATAAATGCAAGAAATCAGCCAGGGCACCATAAAAAATGTCCATGAAGTAATTGGGAAAATGGGTGCAAAACTAACTTTTTTACTATCAATGACAGTCAAGATAACTTGAAGTTAAAATCAAGCAATCAAATAGATCGCTGTGGAGCCAGCACTTTTAGTACAGATGAACAAAATTTACGCTTATCTTAGACACAAGAATAGAAGAAACAGACCAAAGAAAGAATCTGGTAGCCAGTTGAAAGCATAATAAAATACTTTTTATAGCTAATATTCACATCAAATAGATAAAATTAAAATGTCAGGTTTGATAGTTGTAACAAGTTACACTAGTTATTTAATTACACAAAAATGTCATTAGTATACATTAAAAAGAAGTTACTTACAAACCGTCGCTACAAAAAGTGACAGCAAGAAATAAAAGTCGTACTAAATATAGCATATTTTGATTGCGGCGAACATTAACCTTTTGGCTGAAACAATGAAAAATAGGTGCTAACTAGTTCGAACTAGCGCCAGCTAACGAGCCAGCTGAAAAAATATCTATGGGGACTGAGACTAAATCTCTATCGACGGGGAGGCCAGGTTAGCATGCTGTGGACAATGTTGACCTAACACACCAATTCTAACCTAAAAGTAGGCTAGGAAGCAAAGATCTAAAATTAAGCAAGTTTTGCATATATTTATAAAAAATAGTTATGGATCTATACAACGCA